GATGGACCTCAACCACGTGATGCTGAGAAAGACATTGAACCCAAGACAAAGGGATACCGTTCCTGGGGAACGTCCCCCACAGGGACGTCACAGACAGGAAGTAGATTGGGGTTCAAGGAGGGGCGGGCTGATGGTAAGGCGTTTGTGGGGCCTGGGAGTGCAGAACTCAGTGGGCTGCCTTGTTCCCCCTCACCCCCCACCGAGTCTTCAGCTCCTGATGGGGCACAACCACCACCTTCCTCTCTCGCTCTAGAACCCCACCTCCTCATTTGAACAGTTGAGCCTTCGGACAGGTGCAGGCCATGATGGGCAATTCCTGCTTCCACAGGTTAAGTTATGGTATTGGCGATGTCTTGGCGTCCCACTTCCTGGCGACAGTGCACCACATGACAGGGTGGGTCCTTATAATCAGTCAGGGGCGAGAAACAAGTGGCACTGTGGGCTTAGGGACACAGATGTGGGTGTGATGGTGGGGTGTCCTGCCAGGTGGGGTGTCCTGCCAACACTCTGGTTACATTCAGCTGTGCTGACCTGGCAGTAGCCAGGCCCACCTCAAGCCCATCCCGACTCAGTGGCCCCATGTAGGCTTTCCATAAAGGAGCGGACGGGTCGGCCTCCTTTCTTCCAAGGGGCAGCTGTGGGCCTGAACCACCAACTTTGCAGTCAGCAGTCCGACTATCCAACACGGCATAGCCCTGCACCTCGGACACAGCCGCACCCTGGAGCAGCCAGCCCTTTCTTTGATCTTGCTTATTGTCCAATGACTGAACTGGGCACTGGAGACCTGCTCAGCTGTTCCCAGCCCAAGAAGGTCTCAGACTTCACAGGCCAGACTAAACACACACACACACACACACACACACACACACACACACACGGTACACACTGCCCTCCCTGCGAAACCTTTCTCTGGGGGGGCTGGGGAAGCCCAAAGTTGAGAAAGCTTTACATTACAGCAGCAGGCCTGATATTTTGCTAATAGCCACCAAGCAAAGATTCAAAAATAGCTATCATGTAAACTTTATTTTAAATACTTTTGAGTTGCTTGCATGAAGGGAGGCAGGAGCAGTGTTTGAATCTAAACTCATAAAAAAACCAGCCCAAGGGGGGGGGGCCTCTGAAACTGTACATACACGGCACAACAATTTCCTGGGGAGGGTCTTGGAGGGGCTCTGTCCGGCGGCTGCCCCCAGCTCTCCGATCGCGTCTTGTTTGCTGTCGGGCTCTCTGCTCAGCATGACGGGGAGCCCCGTGGGGGTGGGGAGAGCTCAATCCGAAGGCCCTCCACCTCCGCAGCCCTGGTGCTGCATCTGCTTTGGGTCAGAGGCTTCTATGGTGCCGAACATGTCACCTTTTTTGTCTTTTTAATTATTAAAAAGAAAAAGAAAATAGTGCAAGTCTGACACCTACCAAGGGTAGTAAGACATAGGGCACAGGGATGGTTACAGAGGGTCTCAAATACTAAACACCAACCCAGGCATTCACAACGGACAGGTAACCCAGCGCAGACAAGAGAAAATGTTACGGATGGTATCACCCTACAGCAAGCAGATGGGGCGGGGCTGTTATACTGGAGCGATTGGAGTCTGCGGGCATCACAGGGACACCTGATGAGCTCTCCATCACCGTCCAGCGCAGAAATGCTCTGGGGAGCAAGGGCTGGTGTGTGGACAGTCCCCCGTGTGTCCCCGAGGAAGGAAGACACTGGTCCAAAGCAGGCCCTGGAGCAGAGAGCGGCAGTAGGGGGTCTCGGAAGGGCCTTGAAGGTCGCTGCAGGACGGAGCATGCTTAGGAGCAGGCCTACTCACAGGCCGCCTGCCTGTGTTATGTGTGCATGCGCGTGCGTTTATATCCTACGCATGCGTCTTCAGGGATCTCACATCCTTCCCACGCTGGCCAGGGCTGGGCACTTCTGCCTCGGCCCGTTGCCATGGGGTTGTCTTTCTGGGAACAGGTGGAGCCCTCTTTCTCCTGGGGCAGTCCTTGTCTTATAGGAAGTAGAAGCAACTGGACCCCACCTGAGGGCCCCTCGTCTACAGGGGGGCTGTTTCTGAAAGCAGGCCATGGAGGGGGGATGGGGGGGTGGCTGTCCAGTGAGAACAGCCACCTTCCACCCAAACCTTTTCCTGGGGGCGGGGGCTGCATAATGCCCTTAGCTAATTTGGGGTGGGCAGCGAGCGAGGGGCCGCCCCAGATGAAGATAATGCTGAGCCTAGGCCATGTGCTGGGTCCGGCGCCCTCCTGGGCTGTCGGGGGCCCAGCAGGACTGGGGTGTTCACGTCCTCAGAATGTGCAAACGGGGTGCCCGGTACACAAACCAGGCTGAGCCAAGCTCTGCTGCTCTGGTGGGGGCCTGGCTCTGCAGGTGTGGGAAGAGGAAAGTAGGCCCAGAGGCCCAGAATTGAATTCTATGGTCCCCCAAGGGTCCCTTTACGACCCTGCCCTGGGAGCAAACTCAGGCAGGTTCCCCCCAGGGAGTCTGTGTATGGGTGTGTATATGTGTACGTGGGGGGAGGGGAAGGGTCCCCACAGCCGCAGTCTCCTCATCATTGCTCCAGGTGAAATCATGTCCTTGATAGGATTGGGGTTCTTTAGAGGAGGTCCATCTCCTGGATTTGGGGTGTTGAAGAGCGGGCACTGGCGAGGGGTGGGAACTGCTGCTCTGGGTACACAAAACGGGCGGGGCAAGGAAGCTGCAGGAAACGAGGGACATGCCCCTCTCAAGACGAAAGGGACCTGGTAGACCTGCTACACAGTCTCATGACGACCCTCAAAAATTTCTGCAAAATGCCTGTTTCCAGGCCAGGGAGGCCCCCCGGTGCGGGCCCGGTCAGCGCCGACCCGGTGCCAAGGCGGCGGAGGAGGGGGAGGTCAGAGGATGGAGACGCTTAGGGAAGGGGCTTGGTGTGGAGTGAGACCCCGGCCCCTCCCCGTGCAGACACACAGCCGGGGGCGGAAAAGGGAAAGGGTGCCGCGGCCCCCGCCTTGTCCTGCTGCTCCCAGGAAGGTGTGGACGCAGGCCAGTCTGAGGCCCTGGGGGCTCCTCCTTGGCCCAGGCGGGGCGCCGCCTACGGGTCCTCGATGTCCAGAAACTCCTGCTTGGGGGGCGCGCTGCCGCGGTACCAAGCACAGGAACCGTCGCTCCGCTTGATGCAGGCGAAGAACCTGGCCTGGTGGCCGTTGATGCTCTTCTCCGACACCCAGTCCATCCACAGGCACTCGTCCGGCGAGGACACGTAGCATGGGATCATAGGGCAGCGCGAGATCTGGGGGGGCGGAGGGGGTGGGGATCAGGCCACCGTAGTTAATCCCTGCAGGCCTGGCGGGCACAGCGAGGGCTGATCCCCCGTGCGGAGAATTCGGGCCAGGGGGCGCTGGAACTGGAGGCTCTCCAGAAACCCCCTCCCCAAAGCAGCAGCAGGTACTGCCTGAGGGCGGGGCAGGGTCCAGGTGGAGGTAGGGGGCTATGTAGCTGCCTCCAGTGTGCCCCTCCCTGCCAGCTACCCCCACGCCTCATCAACAGGGGCTCTCCCACTCTTGGCCCATGACCTTGGCTTCCACTTAGCCAGAGGGCCTCCCGCAGGCTCAACACCACCCCTACCAATAACAATGTTGCCATTAGGCGCCATCAGGTTGTCGGGACTCGGGGTGACCCTGTGCACCGCAGCATGGACCCTTGAGATCCAGAGGGTGAATATTGGGAAGTAGATGGTCAGGCCTTTCTTCCTCATCTGACTTAGTCTGGAAGCTCCGTGGAAGCCTGTTTAGCATCAACCACATGTAAGCTTCCCCTGACAGACGGGACTCAATCCCAGGTCTCCTGCATGGAAGGCAAGGGTTCTACCACTAGCCCACCACTGGTCTCAAGAGTATAAAAGAACCTTGAACTTTTGGGGAGTCATGACTGCTGGAAGTGAGCTGAGGGGCAGATGTGGCCCCAATGCCCAGAAGAGCCTATAACCAGCAGGGTGAGGCCAGGCACCTTCTGGTCCAGAGCCCACCATGGGGTGCCTGGTCCCAGGAATGCCATCTGTGTTGGGTGGGGCGTGGTGGGGATGGGAGGCTCTTGGGAGATGACAGAATCCGGTTTGGGAGGCTCTGCCCGTTCCACCTCCTCTGGCTGGCTTTTCTCGTCCCGTAAAGAGTTACAGTCTGGGAAACCTACAGGGGGCAGTTCTGCCCTGCCTTATGGGGTCGCTGGCAGCCGGCATGGACTGGATGGCAGGGAGTCTGGATTATGGGCTACATTTTGCCTTTCAAACCATCTGGCCACTTCAGTCGGGATACTTTGTCCCTGCATGTCCCCTCCCATGGGCTCTGGTTTTGTCTCCATGGCTCTGTCCTCAGTCTGGTGAGCTGGTTAGAGTTTGAACCTGCTTTAAGTGGGTTTGCCTTCTGGGTGGTCAGTCTTGAGAAAGGGGCTGGCATCTACACCGAACCAGAGTGTGGTGGGAGTGGCTGGGCTGTTGGCCCAAGTGTAAAGGCGCCCTGTGGGAGGGGCCCTCCAGCACCATTTCACTCTTGCCCCACAGGGCCCCAGTGAAGGAAGGGTGACACGAAGCCAAGGGAAGCGGAGGTTGGGGTGGGGTAGGGAGGAGCCTTCGCAAGCCCCCCAGCAGACTGTGGGCCACCCCACCCCCACTCTCATGGCCCAAGGGACCTCAGGGCTCAGGGCCCACCTTCACCCTAGCCTCATCCTAAGTCAGGACCAGGTGAGAGAAGCCCTCCACCCAGACAGAAGCCACCACCCAGCTGTACCCCGGATGTCTCTGGCGGGGGTGGGGGTGGGGGTGGGGTGGGGGGAGACAGTGCTTACCTTGCACTCGCAGCCCATCTGGTACCTGTGGTTCAGGCTCTTCTTCTGGGTGGTGCTCAGAGTGTCCCAGGGCACGATGAAGTCACACAGGGTGATATGCATCTTGCCATCCCCTTCTGCCTTGCCTGCGGGGAGAGGGCACCCAGCTCAGGGCCTCGCACACCTCCCTGGGGCTGAGGGGGTGGGGAGCCCAGGAGCGGAATCATTAACACTCATCCGGTGTGGGGGGTTGAGAGGGAAGCAGGGTACAACCGAGGGGCAGGAAGCTTGCCTGCTTCCCAGTCGCACGCCGACAAGCCGCCTCCAGCACTCCTATGCCCCCTACTCACTCACAGCAGCTCACACCCACCACCAGCGAGCGGGCTACCACTCAGCCACACTGCTGGGTGGAGCAGCGCCGCCCCGTGGGACCCCAGGCGACCAGTCTTTCCGAGGGATGGTCTCGTTTGTCTTCCGTGGGACATCTGGTGCTTGAACCAAGGATTCCTATGTCGGAGCCCACTTCTGTGGTCACTGCCAATCCACCTGTCAGGGCCTTCCTCTCCTTCGCCAAGCATGGTGTCCTTCTTTAGGGCCAGGCCCCTCCTGACAACACGGCCAAAGTACATGGGACCAAGTCTTGCCATCCTTGCTGCCATGGTACCCTCCGGCTGGGCTTCCTCCCAGACCGAGCTGCTACTGGATTTCAATCCAACGCTCGCTCACTGCCATCGCGTCCATGCCAACTCCTGGCCACCCTGTGGGCCAGGGCAGAACTGACCCTGTGGGTTTCCGAGGCTGGAGCTCTTCCCGGGAGTAGAAAGCCCGTCTTTCTCTTGTGGGGCAGCAGTGGTTTCAAGCTGACCTTGTGAAGTGTTAACAGGCAGGCAGGAAGAGAGAGGGGCTTGTCTCCATCGTGGGCCTCCACTAAACAACCATTAGCTGGCCCTGCCTGCCACGATACAGGGAGTTAAAACCTATGGGGCAAAGAGCCAAAGCTGGGCATGCGCAGACCAAGGTCACTGATGCCCCAATGACGGTCAACCCAGAGATGAGCATTAGGAACCATCAACACAGGTCACACATGCACCTGAACTCAGCCGCTAGGAACGGCCAATACCCTCAGCCACGCCCCTCACGCGGGGGTAGGAGGGGCTAAAACGCTGAGAACCAGGCAGACGTGCTCCCTCCCTTTTTGAGTTCATTGACTGGTGCAGTGAGGCCAGCTTGCAGGGCTGCTGAGGAGTACTTTGTTGCATTACACACGTAGGTTAGCTGGGCTTGAGGAAAACTAGCAACAATGTTTCTATTAACAGGATGGCCGCTGTTACAGAGGCGTCCTCAGCGAGGGCAGGACTCATACATACATACGGTACGTCTGGAAGACCCACGTCTCTGTACCCACAGAAGGGCTCCTGGGAATGGGGCTGCAGGCCCGCCTTTCTTGCCCCAACTAAAGCTCACTGCCATCGAGGCAATGCCGACCCATAGCAACCCTACAGGGCAGGGTAGAACTTCCCCCTGGGTTCCAGAGGCTGAAACCTTGTCAGTCTCCGGCAGAGTGGCTAGTGGCTTTGAACTGCTGACCTTAAGGTGAGCAGCCTGACAGGTTACCCACCCTCTAGGCCTCCTCCGCCTTCCCTTACTAAGACCGGTTGTGTTTGCAGTTTGGCCAGGCAGCCCCTAGAAGGCAGTGCAAGGAAACTGCGATGGGAGCCAAGCCCGGTGCTCAGGACCCACTGGCACAGAGTGGGGTCTGACTGAGTGACCCTGGGGGGCAGCGCACAAGGCTCCGGGAGGTTTCCCAGGCTGTCAGTCTTCGCGGAAGCAGGCTGCCTCACCCTTATCCCTCGAGCAGCATAGGCGTGGCACTAACTCAGCAGCCCATCACTTAACCTACCGTGCCACCAGGGCTCCTTGGTCCCTATGAAAGCAGCCCAAAGGAGGAGGTGGGAAACTGGAAGCCCTAGGCTTAAGGGGGTGTTAGGGCCCTGCACCAGGAGCCCTGGTGGCATAGTGGTTGCCCACTGGGCTGTGATCCGCAAGGTCCGCAGTTGGAAACTACCGGCAGCTCCCAGGAGAAAGATGAGGCTTTCTAATCCTGTGAACAGTTACAGTGTGGGAAACTGAGGGAAAGTTCTATCCTGCCCCGTGGGGTGGCTGTGAGTTGTCATCGATCCAATGGCTGTGAGGGTTTTAGGATCCTGCAGCATGGGGGTCTGTCTCCTCAGGTGGCACAGACAGTGCTGTGAATGGGTGCCCACTGCAACCCGAAGCAGCCTCCTGGGACAGAGCGGCACAGCCTTTGAGGGTTTTCTGGGCTGTCAACGTTCCAGAAAGAGACAGCCAGGTCTTTCTTCCGCAGAACCCCCTGCCCCTCGCTGGGCGCTGAGTGAGAACCACTCGCCTTTCGGTTGGCAGCCTCGCACCTAACCATTGTACCACCAGGGATTCTTATAAATGAAATTTGAAAAAAAATCTAGCAAATGGAATAAAAAAAACCCCAAAACAACCTCACTGCCATTGAGTCAATCCAGACTCTCTCGACCCGTGGCAGTTACAAAATCTATCAACTCGGTCAGGCATGGAGTCTAGCCTGTCAATCAGGTCACAGCCAACGAGGCCTGCCTCAGGGTGGGCATGGCTTTTTCCTGAGGATTCTGAGAACTCCTGTCTTCCTCCCTGGAGGTGGGACACACACATTCCTATCGACAAGCCCCATGGAAACACACGGATGTGTCTCCAGAACTCTGGAGCTGGAGGAGCCACGTGGAGACCCACACCAGCGCTGAGATCCTTCCACCGCCACTGATCTACAACTTTCTATCCACTGGCCTGTGATCTCCCTGCATTCGGCATCACAGCAAGAATGGAGTGGAATTTATGAACTAGTATTGGACATATGGCTAATATTGGACTTATGGACTTCATCTGGACTGGGCTGGGATGTTTCTCTATATACAATTGCTCTTTCATAGACAGCTGTCTCATATACACATATGCGTGTCCATGGATTTGTTTCTCTAGTCTACCTGGACTAACACATGACCCTAGAGCCCTGGTGGCTCAGTGGTTATGCAGTGGGCTGCTAATCTCAAGGTCAGAAGTTCAAAACCACCAGTTGCTCTGCAGGAGAGAGAAGAGGCTTTCTGCTCCCATAAAGAGTTACAGCCTTGGAGAGCCACAGGGGCCTGACCTGCGGTGAAGAAATGCAAGGCAGCGTGAAAAGGGAAGGAAGCAGGCAGTGGGAAATGCTGGCAGGTTCCTCTGTCCAGTGGCCCCAGGAGCCCACCGTGTGTGGCCACGCCCAATGGGTGCGAGGTCCCGTGGACTCTGCACCGTCTCCACCTCCCTCCTTCTTAGCATCATCATGGTGTGGGCACTGTCAGACGACTGCTGCCTGACAGTTGGTCTTGAGGCCACACTGTTATTTCTTCCGATTGCTTTTCCTGAAATCACAGTGACGGTCCTCAACAAGTTAAACTTCAAACGCAATGCCTGTGGTGCGGGGGTTGTTAGGTGCCAGCCAGTCACCCCCGCCTCCCAGCGACGGTGGGGACAAGACAAAACCCCGCCGCCCGCTGCTGGGCCGTCCTCGGTCGTTGTTACGTCGGCGCCCACTGTTGCAGCCACTGTGACCATCCATCTTGTCGGGGGTCTTCATCTTTTCCCCCTCTACCTTTACTTGACCAAGCAGGACGTCCTTCCCCAGGGGCAGGTCTCTCCTGACAGCGTGTCCAAAGCACGTGAGATGAAGTCTCGCCATCCTTGCTTCTATGGAGCGCCCCGGCTGTCCTTCCTCCAGGACAGAGGGCCTTGTCCTCCTGGCAGGCTGAGGTTCGCCGATGAGCCCCTGAAAGCCTTGTGCTCAGCAGCAGCACCCTGCCAGCAGAAGCACTGCGAGGCCAGTGACTCCACTCCTGCTGCACAGAAAGGACGCATGGACCCCTGCGGAAACCTGCCTGGATGTCCACAAGAGCATCCTCCCAAACAGCCCCCGGGGGAGCAGACCAGACATCTGCCGGCCGGAGAAGGGCAGATACAGAGTGGCTGATTATCTGAGCGGTGGAGCGGCATGGGTCGGAAGTGATGCTCTGACATGCGATCCCACGTGGGTGGGACACCAAGAGAAAGCAGCTGGATACCAGAGACGCTGGATCGGCCCACTGGGCCAATGGCTTCAGAGGATTCGGCCAGGGGGCTGGCGGGAAATGGGGAGCGAACACAGCACAGCAAGTGCGCAGAAGGAGGGACATC